AATCATGTAAATGAACCGTGGAGTTCCAACGAAAATATTTGGCCAGAACTTGAGCAATTGTGGAACCATGGATAAAATACACTATTTTCGTTCTCCTGAAGATGCTAGATAGAAATATAGTCTAAGGTAATATTATAATATATATATATAATTACGTGTTAAAAGAGCATCTTCCAACCATCTCTGTTTAAATTCTTCAAATTTTAGGTAAGTGGTATACAACTCGATAGCGTCTGGCAAGTTTATTTTATGCTGCCCATTGTATCAAGTAATACGCTCGATGTGTCATGCAATCCACTCGACTGTGATCTCCTATAACAAGCCAAATTAATTTAACATTAAATTATATATAAATAAAAATAATTACCCTAGACAATACACCATTAATTTTGATCGTGCTTTTGCATGAACTTCGTTGCTTCCATATGTCTGTTTGGCGCAATTAATGATCAGTCTCAGCAGTTCAAATGCCTTGTATTTATTAGAATTGTTATTGTTTGGTTCAGTTTTCTATTGAAATATCCACGAAAGCAATAGATTGAAAAGATTTCTGCCCGAGGGCTCAATTTTAAGTAGTCGATTAGAAAGATCATAGCAGTCCTTTAGTTCATGGAATTACATAAAGGGGTTGCTAACTTATCGGGCAATTCCTTAAATGAGACGAATTAAGAAATTCGAGGCGTAAATATTAGTAAATATAAACGATCGATCGATGACATTTGGATGATTTACATAGTATTGCCAACATTATCTTCAAAAATATTTCGAAAATATTTTTTAGATGTTCAAGGGACTCATCAATATAATTATTCTGAATGGCTTTCTCAAAGTTTGGCAACGCAGATAAATATAACCACATTCGTAACTTTTTAGGATTGTCGATAGTAGTTCTCTGATCTGAAGGTTTTAATGCTGACGTCGGAGGTATTTGTTGCCTGGGTACTGAAACAGGCAAATCTTGCTGCGTTGGTTGAACTAAAGGATTGCTTTGCATTGGTAGGGAATCGTAGTTTACAGATGTGCGTCTAGAGTTTTGCTGATCACTATTTGAAGTGCTACTTGTTTGATTTAATGGTCGGTTATATAAAGCACCAGCAGTTTGATTTAAAGGTGTTAATTGTTGCCGTGGAGGTAAAGAAGGACTTTGCTGTTGGAAGCTTTGCTGTGATAATTGTTTATTGCCACATTATATTTCCCTACTAGCAGCACGGCCATCGTTGGTTTTACTTCGAATCATGTTAAGTTCTTTTATCCTGTATATTAGATCATCATATATGTAAGCTCTTGAAAAATTATTGACAACTAAATAAATAAAATTTTCTTACGCCATAACATTCCTTCGTATAACGGTTTGAGCAGCAGCTCTAACATTTTCACGAATTTCAGGATCAATACCTGGAAGAAATTGCTAATTGAGGATTCTAAATATTCAATTAATTCTGGACCAAATTGAGATACGATTCTAATATCAAACGGATAGTTGGCTCTAAAACAAAATAAAAGGCAATTAAAAAAACAAAATTACAAACAATCAGACTTAACAAATAGGTGTGTATTTACCGATATTAATTATATTATCGTTTATATTTTGATTTATGCTATTCCTGTCAAAAGATAGCCAATCCAGTATAAGAGCCGTTTTTGACAATAACATAATCGATCGCTTGAATTTTCTTTGTCGCGCTGCATGTAGAATAATTAATTAACAACCCTTTGGACAAATCGATATGAAAACTGATTTACATACTGCAATGGCAATCATTGCGCTGATTAATTGATGTCTTTGGTATTCTTCATTTGGCTTTGCTAAACGAAATGCACTGCATATCCATCTTTTATGTCCAAAAGTGTATATCCGGAAACTGTAAAATCCCTAAAAAATGTCTCAATTTTCGGAAAAGCTTTTGGTGTATGCTAAGTTGAAAAGTTCGTAAATAAGTGAAATATTCTGAAGAAATCCATTTAATCACAAGAGGAAAAATATAGATTGACTTTTATATTTTCCAAATATGCGGTTATTCTCGCTTTTTCATCATTTGTAGGGCGACTACTCAACAATAATCCATCATTGGTTTTCGTATCATAAGAAATTTTGCTATTAATGACGCAAATAGAAACTTAAGTTCGTGTATCATTTATAGTATAATATAAAAATTAGACAACCTTACCATTATGATCTAGATTACTATAAATGGCCGCAAAGTCGGGTATGTTTGAAACTTCTAACAACAATCGATACAAATCACGACCGATTTTAAAACATACGTTATACTGATTAAAACCAACGAGAGTTACTCAATAAATTAACAGCGCCGATTAAAACGTAAAAACTTCTTCTACATACGTGATTATCAAAAATAATTTTGCAAAATTGTGCTTCTCGAGTCCGTAGCTGATCAAATCTGTCATGTTCCCTTGCCAAGCTCGCAAACGTTTAGAAAGTCACATGTATCAATCGTTCATTTTGAAATAGCCACGCTATATAATAACAAGAAAGAACTTTTTGTTATTATTTATAACGAATGGATTTCATGCAATCATATGGGGGTGTGAAGCGAATTGTTCGTAATTGAATCAACTCTTGTTCTTTATCAGCTTGTGACGAGGTACGACTACTGCTTCCATTAAAATGTGACATACCATCAGCAGCAGCTATTAATTCGGCAAATACGTAAACGATTTTTGGCATCTATGTACAATGTCTTATAATTTCTATACTTTGAACCCTTGTTTTGATATAGGCGTAAACCCAGTAGTATGCGATCTTGATTCCTCCGCTTTTAACGGAAGAATTGGTAAGATAGAACCTGCATTTAAAGTCTAATTTCCCATCGATTAAATTTCTTAAATTCAACCCATCAGTACAAACCACCTGTATCAGGTAAACAATCAAGTTTGATACATTTTTCTGTCTATTCCCGAGCCTCCAGATTGTATATCGAAACTTTTAACGCTTTGGTCGTATGAATAAATGATCGCATCACCTAATTCATTAAAAACTGGCTTTTATGATTATTGTTGGCTAAAACGAAATGAACCCTAATAAAAGATATTTTGGATTCTGATAATTTATGTGTAGAAATTATTTGGTTTAGAGTAAAAACCGCTTCGGCAAAGATTACAGCAAAATCTATGCACTTGAAACCTCCTACTTCAAACTCAAGAATGAAGAAGGGGTATTTTTCTTTAGTGATGTTTGATGTGGCAACACATACAAAGTCAGTTCAGGCTGATCCTTTCCCACTGTTACTGGAAATTTGAAATCTGAGAGAATTTTCTCCCAAAGCTGAGATTTATAATGATTTTCTGAAGGACTTGCACCCGGAGCCTTTACAGTATCTTCATTGATTATTCTACGCATTATTGGGATTGCATCTCTTAAATATTTGGTTTTTAGAGTTTTTGAATATTCTAGAAATAATGCTAAGGTTTATTGCCGGTTTATTTGGATCTATATAACATATAGGGATGTCTGGTTGAAATATATTTGAGTCAGTGACGGATCAATTGAGCAACTTCAACAAGTGCCTTCCTCTTTGCGCCTGTTCATTGACATTATTCTTTGCTAATTTCATCAAAATTTCATAATAATTATCCAAAGATTTGAAGTCATCAGTATGTTCAAGAATGCAAATAGTATCTGTTTGGACCCTTCTACTCGTGTTTGGCATTATGGACAAACTGGCAATTGGTATTTTGTCTCCTCTTTCTCTGCCCTTACATATACATAAAAAATATTATAAGACTTGATATCCAGTTTTAATGGCAATATACACAAAATAACAAGCCCTTGTTAAATAGTCTATAAAACAATACTATTGCTCAAAATGCCAAAGCTTTGAAGCACTGTTCCATAAAATAACACCACCCCTTTCTCTGCATCAAAAACAATGATTCAAATACCTCGCAAAGACAATCTAAAGAAAAGGGAATTATGTTATTCTAATTTAAAAATTTCAAAGAAGAATTTTCATCAAGGTTTTTCAAAAATCTAGTTATTTTGTCAGTTATGCAGAAAGCAAAAGTATGACAATGTCTTTTATTCAGAAAATTGTTAAAATTTAGATTTACTAAGAAAATAAAAATTATTGTCACCACCAGTAGATTGACTATTATTATTGCTTATTGTGTGCCTCTTCCTTGCACATAACAGTTGTAATCAACCCTTCTATCTACATCATATCCTTTTATCAATCCATGGCTATATAGATTATATTTGTTAAAGAGAATATTATCAGCACAAAAGAAAAATATATTTGGATTAATAGAATTAGGCAAAACTTTAAAATTTATTTCAAGTTGAATTTAAGAAGTATTGTGTAGTTGATACTGTCTAATTGTATACTGTCTAATTGCATATACTTTCTAAGGGCGTTCTCAAGCACCCACCACAATGAATTTAATAAAAAATCTGATTGGCTAGTTTGATTAAACTGACCAATCAGATTCGTTATTGAGTCCATTTAGGTAGGTGCTTGAGAACACCCTAAATGTATAAAAAATTTTGACTTTTAATTAATATCACAAAAGTAGTTTTTTTTTTTTTTTTTTTTTTTTTTTTTTTTAAGGTGAGGCCTTGCTCGTATCTTTATTAGGTAATTTATATAAGTAATTACATAGAAACTATATAAAAACTAAATTTGTAAAATAA